ACCTCGACGGGAACAGTTCCCCCTTTCAGCACAACACTGGCTACTCCGATTACTACGGGTACTCCTGATACCACTGAATGCACTACTCATCTCGATGCTATGACCATCGCCGCGTCTTAAATTTATTTCACTAACCTTACATTATATATAAGTAGATGATGTGTTAAATCATAAATATTTCTTCAAGTGTTTGCACTTTTTTGCACTTCAATAACAAAATTAAAATGTTTAAATGGAAATGTTGTTAAAAAAATACAATAATTTTATTATGGCATAAAACAGTAGAGGAGCAATATTTGATTTCATATATACCATATGAACAACACATACATGCATACGCTTAACAAGTTAAAACGTTGGCGGGCACTATTGAACACACCACCCCATAGAGAGTCCATAAAAGAACAAAAATTATATGTTTATTGCGATAGGAAGAATTTTTATATAGGATGGTCTTCGAAAAATTGACATACGTAATTCACACTGATGAAATATATATCGCAAATATTTGTAATCAATTTTCATCATAAAATATTAACGAATAAGAAAATACTCATCCTACTATCCGTGCCTTGAAAACAGGAAAAAAAACTTCAATCCGTTTCCATTCTCGAAAACGAGACGATATGAGATAAGTAATAGATGACAAATTAACATAAAAGATTTCAGTAAGCATTTGAATAATAGAAAGTTAATGGGATGGCGCGTGTATTAGGTTAATGGAAACCAATTCTTACTTTGCTCTTTTTTTTTGCACTTGCCAGGCATATTATTATTGGTTGAATGACATGTATATGGATGTGCGTTTAGCTCTGCCAATTAATTCAAATCCAGGAATGGCTTTTCCACCACGACAGTTCACCACAGTACACGATGTGGCAAGATTTTCAGCACAATTGCTTGATGGTATTATGCTTCATAAAGAGTTGCTTGATAGGTAAAAAAATCAAATATGCTTTCATTTTGCTCTTTAATGCAACTAATAATTCCATTGCAGCGGTAAACTTCCGCAAGAGCGTGCAACGTCACGGGAAAAGAATCAACCATTATGCATGGCTCAATATTATCGTTTGTTGGGCTCGTGCCGACGTCCTGGTGTAGAACGTGATTCCCAATACTTGCCGCAGCATGTCAGCGAAGAACAATATGTCATTGTTTTTTGCCGCAATCAAATGTATTGCGTGATCTTGAAGGGTCGCGATCGCGGCAAATTATCGGAAAGCGAAATGGCATCACAGATTTTATATATACTCAGTGATGCTCCATGTTTATCCACAAAACCGCCACCTCTAGGCTTGCTAACCGCCGAGCCACGTTCACAATGGGCGCAGGATCGTACCACTATTTTATTGAGCGAGCGCAATCAACGCAATATCGAACTGTTAGAGACAGCGTTAATTGTTTTGTGCTTAGATGAGCCATTGCCATTAGATTTTAATGCGCGCAATTTTCCCGGTGCTACACCATCAGTACATTATGCAGGTCAACGTGATGAGACTAATATGGCTCATCAAATGATACATGGCGGTGGCAGTGAATACAATACCGGTAATCGTTGGTTTGACAAAACTATGCAAATCATCGTATGCACCGACGGAACTTGGGGTCTCTGCTATGAACATTCGACATCCGAGGGAATTGCTGTCGTTCAACTATTGGAGAAAATCTATAAGAAAATTTTAGATAATCCCACGGATGGCAACGGCGTACCTCAACATCATTTACCACCACCTGAACGTTTAGAATGGGATTTAACTATGGATATACAAATGCGTTTCACTCAAGCTGCCGTTTCAGTTGATAAGTATGAAAATGAACTTGTCTCATTAATAGCGACAGAGAATTTCCAAAATACATCGATTTCTTTTTTTCTTTTTTTTTTTTCCTGTAGAGCTATTAGTAATTTGGACTTCCATGTTTACCGATACAAGGGCTATGGAAAAAATTTCATTAAGGGTTGCCAAGTTAGTCCCGACGCTTATATACAACTATCGTTGCAATTGGCCTATTTTAGGTATTATATAATTTAAATTCTCTTTAAGCGAAAAGAAATAACTTTAAAAAAAAATTTTTTTTCTCAGATTATATGGTTATTTAGTGACCACTTATGAGAGTGCATCGACTCGGCGATTCCTTTTGGTAGTTTTTTGAAAATATCTCGCACACACATATTTCAAAGATTTACTTTGCGTTTTTTTTTTTTTTTTTTACTTTATCCTCAAGGGTCGTGTGGATTGCATACGCAGTGCTAGCACCGAAGCTCTAGAATGGGCTAAAGCATTATGTCAGAACAAAGATGCCAATACAGCTATAAAAAATTACACTGAATCGAATCAGGTACAAAATTGTTTGTGTTTTTTTTTTTTCTTTTTTTAGTTTGAATACAAAAATGAATGTGTTTTGCGTTTAAGCAGAAAGATCGAATACGTGAACTCTTCCGTTGTGCGGTGGCTCGGCAAACTGAGGTTATGGTTCAAAATATTTTGGGTAATGGTATAGATATACCATTGCTAGGATTGCGAGAAGCTAGTCGCGAAGTTACCGGACAATTGCATGAACTTTTCACAGATGAATCATACAAAATATCGCAATGTTTCTTGCTGTCAACTAGCCAGGTGACTTTTAGACATTTAGATTGCTTCGCTCATTCACTGAAGCCAACCTTCATAAGCACTACAACGCATGTAGTTTTTCTTGTTTTTTTCGATCACAAAAAGCACTCTTTCCAGTCTATCTTGCACTTTTTCTTTTTCTTTTTTTTTTTTTTTTTTTTGTGCGTATTTAATATCAAAACTACTTAGCTTTATTGCTAAAAAAAAAAAAAAAAAAAGCACCATTCTGAAAACATGCACTGAGCGATATTTCAAGCACCTAATCAAGAGATGAGTAAGTGTTTAATTATACTTTGTTTGATATATAATAAAAACAAAGCTCTTTTTTTCGTTTTTTTTGTTGTTGTATTTTTTAGGTGGCTTGCAGCACTGATAGTTTCATGGGTTATGGTCCTGTAACGCCACGGGGTTATGGCTGCTCCTATAATCCCCATCCCGATCAGATTGTATTCTGCGTATCCGCCTTTTTGGCTTGCGGTGAAACGAGTGCTTCAAGCTATGCCAAATCATTGCAAGATTCATTAGATGTCATGAAAGATTTATTAGAGAATTAATTAAATGTTATACGATTAGAAATTAATATACTAAAAGACGTTTATGTACACTATACATACGTACACAAGTGCAATATATATACATATATATATATATATCTATACATATCATTTAATGTACCTTACAAAGCAAAAACATGAAACCAAAACGAAATGTTTTAGAGAAATTTATTGAAAAACATATATGTTATATATAGTTGTTCAAAGTTTAAAAAACAAAAAAAAAACAAAAATAATGTAAACAATTTTAGAAAAATGTTTAACACACAAAAGAAAATATATACATACATATACATACATATATATACTCTGAATATAAATAATTAGTACATTAGACTATATAAATATACGCTATATTAATTTATGAATTTAAAAAAAAAAAAAAAAAAAAAAAAAAAAAAAAATTCAAAATCCATTAATCATTAGCGAAACAATTATAAATGTTTAAAAAAATGACATGTTATCGCCCCTAGTTGTAAGATCCCCACAGCAACAAGTATATTTAAAAAATTACAACGACATGTACGTATTTTGATTTAAAAACCATATTATCTCCTCTCCCCTATAATGATTAAAAATGCAATAATTAGAGTTCCTAATTATCATATAAACTGTTACTTGTTGAAATTTTAGTTTAATATTTTTTTTTTTTTTTAGGATGAAAGTCCTCGATTCTGAGAGTTGTTTTCTTAAGTCCCTCAGGAGTTGTTTAAAACGCATCTAGGAAATCTAATGTAATTCAATCAAAGGCAAACCATATCGAGAAATATATGCTATAAGTTGATCGGCATTTCGTAAATTTTAAATTTCGGGTAACGTCGGTTCGTAACTCCCTATGACCATACCATTATTATCTTGTTGATATTATTTAATTATGCGATATATTTTGTATTACTTATCCAACATTTTCGATTTAGTCAAAGTAAAAGCACAACTTCTTGGCTAAATAAGTGAAAACATTGTAGTCCGGTCAGGAGGACTATTGAAAATACTCTACATCGCATTGTCTAACACAATTCTTATTTCGGATATGCCCTGTTTTTTATAGGCACATACTATTAGACCTCTTTGCAAATGAAGTCTTTCGTTCCGTTAGAATGTTTGTGCCCAAGAGTTTCAAAAATTCAGGTACTTTTTATATCATTTTTCATATTAAGTTACTATTATGTGTTAATTTTCATAAAAATATATTAAAATTTAAACTTTTCTGCCCCATAAAGGATTAATTTTCGTGATATACTTGCATAGGGTAGGACCTGAAAAATATGCCGAATATGCTGTCAACGAATCCTTTGACCAACTGTTCAATATCAAGCTGCCTGCTGAATGAACTGTAGAGTTTTCATTATTTTGATCACACGTGTTCGTATACTCACCTCGGTTATTATCAATGCCCGAAAAGTAGAAAAAACGTTCAGATCAAGTATTTCTAATGAAATGATTAGAATGTTTGCTCGAAAGCCTTAAGTAGAAAATGAAATTAATATTCATTGAAACACAAGTAAAAACCACTTCGTTTAATACCGTTACTCATATAACGACCTTTCAAAAGAAGGCATTACCAATTATCAAAACGAATACCCGAAGTGGTGTAGGGTATATAATGGTCGGCCTTGTCGCCACTGAAACTATACATGAATAACAATTCTTCGTAATTCTGGATTGATCGGCTGTCTTATCGAAGTCATTTACATAGCACCGCTACTTTGCTGTTCAAATATGCAAAGCATTTCGATATAATGATTGTATTTATTTCCCAGACCCATCATGGTCAATACGACAAGGCAGTAGACGAATAATTTTATCCATTAAAAAATTTCATGTTGCCCTAATGTGGCGAACAAATAATTGTATTGATATTAATAATCATAAATATAGGTTTATTTCTTTTCGGACAGTCTCAATTTCCATTTATTGTAATGATCACCTTGATCGTTTTCGATATTTGTCAAAAGTTATTCAAAGGAAAGCTTTAAAAAAATAAACAATTTTATACATACACACACGAAAGTGCAATTTTCAGAACCGACATCTATTGGCAGAGAAATATTTTAACGTTTACTAAATGCTTAAGAAAAAAAAAAAATCAACACAGACATCACTGATAACGACCGTGACAGGACTCGAACCTGCAATCTTCGGATCCGAAGTCCGACGCCTTATCCATTAGGCCACACGGTCATATGGAGTTATTGCAATAAAAGCGTAATAAGATCGGATGATTACAGAAGATTAACAAGATAGTTGTTTAATACTTTTTTTTTTTTTTGTATTAACATAAAGATATAATTAGAATCTCTGTTAAGAATAATCAGTCAATAATAATTAATTTAACAAGTATATAAAAAAGGACAGGAAAAAATTAAGATCTACATCAACATGGAGCAACAAAAATATAAAAGTGTAGACATACATTCACCTATAGTGTAATAATAATAAAAATAAATAAATCCATTATAGCTGTGAGAGATATATAGAATAATACTAATATATTGTATTATTAAACTTCTATTTTTTGAATTCCCATCAGATGTTCATTATTTGTTTCTTTGCTTTTTTAAAAACAAACACAGATTGTTGCGTAGAAGAATGTAGATAATTAATTAATTTATTGCATACATTGCAATAGCCACTATCTAATATAATTACTTTCCTGCGCATCAGAATTTTTGAGGCCAATTGTGAAAATTATGTACCGGCAAAAGAATAGGAACGTGCAGAGGTTAGAAAAACAGGATATCGCAGTTAGACTGAGGGACATGTGAATTGTAGACCAAAGGAAAAGGCAAGAAAGTAAGAAAATAGTAAGTAGGAAGTACGGAGATGTGGTTTAAAGTTTGGGAAAACTTTGTTTCATGTGATGTCACCGTAAACCGACATATAAACAAGAACTTTCCGAAAATTTAGAAAAATCTTCGAAATGTAATTTTACGTTTTACCTACTCATTAAAAAAGTAAATATAGTTTTTGTTAAATATTTTATGTAACTATATATATGACTAACCATGAGATTACAATACGCATTTGTTCAAGTTAACTTGGAAAGAAATTTTAGAAAGTAATTTGTTGCTGTTATAATTTTGTTTAAATATTATTTATGACATGTTGTTATTACCTCAAATGTTGAATAAAAGAGTTATATCACATACTTTACTGATTTTCGATTTATTTTGCAAAATTCCAATTTCGCCGATGTTCGAACTTATATCGAATAAAAAGTTAAGAAATTTTTAAAATACGTGTGAAAAGTTCAAAATTTGCTGAAAAAACTTCAAAAAAAGTAAACAACATCCAAACGACCGTGACAGGACTCGAACCTGCAATCTTCGGATCCGAAGTCCGACGCCTTATCCATTAGGCCACACGGTCTATATATTCTTGTTGTCAAATTTGCTTTATAATATAGAAAAAGATATTATTA